ATGTCAGCAGTCACGTCCGGTTAGTGTGTATATATTCTAGGAGTGTCTGGTATGGGAACCAGAGAAAGAGGACTGAGCAGCAGAGGATCAGCAGAACTGGCAGACTGGAGAAGGAAAAACTAGCAATGTCAACATGTGCAGAATGGGAGCAATATAGTGGGAGGTGAGCAGGGACCAGAGAGGGAGGAGGATCAGCAAATCAGAGGATCAGCAGAACTGGGGCTTACTGCTGAATGGGGGATCAGCAGAGCTGGATGTTATTGATGAGTGGGGGAACAGCAGAGCTAGGGGTTACTATTGAGGGGGGGATAAGCAGAGCTGGCGGTTACTACTGAGCGGGGGATAAGCAGAACTATGTGTTCTACTGGGTGGGGCATTAGCAGAGCTAGGGGTATTATTGAACAGGTGATCTGCTGAACAAGGGCACTAATCAGCTGAGGAGCTGCTGAATGAGGGTGCCACAGAACTGGGAATCTGCTGAGTGGAGGGTACTATTGAGCCAGGGATCTAATGGGACCCTTTAAAACAAACAGAAAATCAACACACACAGGGCATTTGCCAAGCATCACCGAAGGATCAAAAAAACATCAAAAAGCATGTTGAAGAGGGAGGTGCTTTAATGTGTGTTGAAGTCAAAGCAAGTGTAAATGAGCCCTTAGAGGCAAATAAGGCTGCCTCTCATTTGGCAGTGTCTATAGGAGTGTTTCTGGCCTCATGCACCCAGGATGTACTTAGCCCCTCTGAAAGCCTTTTCTCTTGGCAGGAGAAAAAATTGCTTAAAAAAGTAAAAGCAGTGTGTATTGCACACGTTTATGCACATTAATGCATTCTATTGGCCATAATATTATTTTATCCTGGCCATTCAAGTGCATTTTTCTACCTGTAAATGCTCCTCTTCTAATATGCCTGTAAACGCCTAAATGTGCAAGGACATATTAGAACATTTACAGGCAAAAAAAACACCAAATGCCTGTAAAAGACCTGTGTGTGTGAGCACTTACAGTGTATTTTTGTGGCCCCTGCACCTGTATTCCTAATTAGACAAATGTTACAGATTTGCAAAGCTCTGAGACAGATTTATCACAGGAGATGAGACAAATTTAAATTCTAAATAAAAACATAATAAACAAGTGGTTAAGGTCAGGTTTGGTCCTGTCACAGCGCTATTTTAGAGCAGCTGAAGAAGAAATTTTAAATCAAACTGTATCCTGTATAGCTCTATCCTTGGATGAGCCAATGGGTTGTTTGAGTCCTCTTGCCCTACTCCTGTGATGGCCCATCTGGTACCTGGTCCCAAGAGACCACCATCAACACATCTGGAACTGTTTAGAATGGAAGCAAAGCCCTGTAAAAGAAAGTGGTAAGGCTAAAAAAGTACAATGCAGTGTTAAACAATTCACATTGCAAGAACAAAATTCGCATAACAATGGCCTAATTATGAGCAAAAGACCCTACCTACAGGAACTCCACTGGCCACTGAGACTACAAATTCTGCAAAATGGTCCTGCCAGCGTCGGGGCCCCTATCCTACGGTGGAGCACTTTACTGATTTAGATGGTGGCCTATAAGCCTCCCTCCACTGATGGAATTGGTCCCTCTCTCAAGCCAGCGATTGATAAAAACTGTAGTGCCCTCCCTATAGCTCTACATCTCCTAATGTAGAGGTCTCTCAGCAAAGCAGCAGATTGACAGCAGTAGTAGCACATGGTCAAACAAAACAGCAGCCAAGTCCATGCAGCACAGGCACAGTCTCTCTTTGAGCAGTGGTAACAGCAGCCACAGGCCCCTTTGGTCTAAGCGGAACAGCAACAGCTCACTCTGCAGCAGTAGGAGAGGAATAGCTCCTATGGCCTTAGGAATCTTTAGCACATTCACTCCAGAAGCAGCACAGTGGCCACAAGGACTAGCAGCAAAGCTAATCAAGTCTTCCTGCTCTGGTGGTCAATTCCTCCTTTTGTCCCGTTGCTAGGGGCAAGTCCAGTGGCAGCAGCAAAAAAAGATCCTGCTGTAAATTCTAGCTTTCTTGTAGAGAAATGATCTGCCGGGTGGTTTAATGGGACCTTCAGCCTATGCCATACTTGTAGTAAATGTCACAGAATCTGTCTCTCTGCTGGTTAGCATTGCTTTGCAGAATTGATAAATGTCTACCATAGTGCTCCAGCAAACTAAAGGGTTTATTTACAATGGAGGGCATATTTCACAATGTGCTATATTCCACAAGGTTATATCCATGCCTGTAATTGATGGCTCATTCATAAAATGCAGGTTCTCTCTCAACTTTGCAGTTGGAGCTCTTGGTCACATAGCTACAACAGGGCTCTACTCCGGGACTTTTTTGCTTCTCTTCATTTTAAAACAAAACAAAATCCATCTGTTCACCAATACAATTACATTCAAGGCATCCTGGGATGAATAACTGTCACAGTTACTTGTGCGCTCAACCAAACTGTCAAACATCAAATGGCTGGTATCATAAGTGATCATACTGTATGTGCAGCACCATGACAACTGCAGATCAAACACAGGCTAAGATGTTAGCTTCCTTGCCTGTAATGGATAGGGGGGATTTATTTTTGCTTTAATAACTCTTTTTCCAGCAAGGTGATCAGTCTTCTCAGCCTTTTCTACACTTGCTCTCTGAAAATGCTCCACTGTGTCCCAATTGACATGAATGGGACTGCATGGCATACCAGGTTATCCCCATGCAAGTAGAAATGGCCCTCGGCCCCTCAGGCCCCAATCACAACTCGAAGATCCAAAACGCTCAGGGGTAAATAAAAAAAAAATCAATATTACTCTATGGAGATAGTTGACATCTCCACTCCAAGTTGCCTGAAGCTCAAGAAAGTTTTGGAGCTACTGTTGTAGCTCAAACTGGGCAGATTTGCAAGTTTTTGGCGCGTTTCTATTCTCATAGGAAAGAATAGAAAAGCGCGATTGGCACGTTTTAACGCATTTTTCTGCTCTGATGAGAATGTTTTAAAAAATAGTAATAATATATGAATAAATAAATGTAAAATAAATAAAATAAATACACATATAAATAAAAAATCATGATAAATAATAAACAAAATTAATTAATTAACCCATAACCTTAAAAAAAATAAATTATTATTATTATTATTAATAATAATAATAATAATAATAATAATAATAATAATAAAAAAACAGAACATAAAGTACATTATTATTATTATTATTATTATTAATAATAATAATAATAATAATAATAATAATAAAATTATTATTATCTTATAATTTTTTTTAGGTTTTAGGGGGATAAGGTTATGGGTTAATCATTATTAATATATTATTACAAGTATTTATTTATGATTATTTTTGTGTATTTATTTTTAATTTTTATTTATTTATTATTATTGTATTTTTTTGATTTGGTTTAGGTGTTTATTTTTTTTCTATTATTAACCACCAGCCCTCCAGAGGATTTTCCCCCTTCCTGACCAGGCCATTTTTTGTAGTGGTGCACCGAAATGAAAATTCTGGTGCCGAAACCGATACCGAAAATTCAGAATGCATGTGGCCGAAAATCAAACTAAAACCGAAATGTCTGTATATATGGGGGTGGTGAGCTCCAATTTCATGTGTGTGTATATATATATATATATATATATATATATATATATTTTTTTTTTTTTTTTTTAACTTATTTTTTTGCTATCACATAGGAGATAAATAGTTCCCTATGTGATAGCTAGAGATGAGCGAATTATTCAAAAATTCGGTTCGGCTGATTCGCCGAATTCGCCGAATAAATTCGCTTCGAGCCGAATATATTCGCTGCGAATTTAACCTATAAAAAGGGATGTTTCTAGGCTTCAGAGAGCCTTTATATTAGTGCAGAACACTGTACCTTTAATTTAAATGCCCTTGGAGTCTGCTGGGGAAGAGAACTAATACTGTCAGTCAGTATGACATGCAGATGAGTGCCGTCGATCTTAGAATCACCGCACACTTCACTCATTTGGGCAGTCACGGGGCCAAAACCAGAGTGTGGAGCCAGTGTGGGGGTGGAGGCAGCAGCAATGGGAGGCCATACAGCACCCTATGACAAAAATGGAACCCACCAGCAGTGTGAGGAGACCTGAAAGTGGCACATGGCAGAGTGTGGCGATGGAGACAGCAGCAATGGGAGGCCGTACAGGGACCCATGACACACTCTGGACCTGGCAGCAGCATGAGGAGGCGGGGGGGTACAGGGGCCCATGACAGATTACGGGCCTGGCAGCAGCATGAGGAGTCGGTACGGGGGCCCATGGCAGATTACGGGCCTGGCAGCAGCATGAGGAGGCGGTACAGGGGCCCATGGCAGAGTGGCGGAGCGTAAGCAGCTAAAATTGAAGGCCATACAGAGGCCTATGTTAAAAAGTCCCCCCAGCAGCAGCGTGGGGAGACGACTATCAAGAGTCCAATGGCAGAGTGGCGGAGCAGAAGCAGCTTCAATTGAAGGCCATACACAGGCCTAGGTTTAAAAGTCCCTCACAGTTAATTCCAATAACGAACTCTACTCCTCCGTGCAATCTACTTACGAGACCCTGGGCAGGTCTGGGTCCAATTTGTGGTAGAGACTGGTTTTGTTCAGCCATGCTTGAGCGAGTAATAACAGGTCTGTGCTGCCCTTTGGTGTCTGGCTTAATGCGCACAACACTGAACATCCCAGCGTTTGTCAACGATTTGCCGTTAAGTGATGCAAACCCGCTGAACCACGTTCATGAGGAGCCGGTACAGGGGGGCCCATGAATCAGTATGGACCTGGCAGCAGCGTGAGCAGACGACAGAGGCACATGGCGCAGGGTGGCGGTGTAGGCAGCATTATTCTGAAGCCATACACAGGCCTAGGTTAAAAAGCGGAAGCCGTCAGCAGCGTGAGCAGACGACAGAGACACATGGCGCAGGGTGGCGGTGGATGCAGCAGTATTCGGAAGCCAAACACAGGCCTCGGTTAAAAAAGCAGAAGCCGTCAGCAGCGTGAGCAGACGACAGAGGCACATGGCGCAGGGTGGCGGTGGAGGCAGCAGCAATGGAAGGCCATACAGCACCCTATCACAAAATGGAACCCACCAACAGTGTAAGGAGACCTGAAAGTGGCACATGGCAGAGTCTGGCGATGAAGTCAGCAGCAATGGGAGGCCGTACAGGGACCCATGACACACTCTGGACCTGGCAGCAGCAAGAGGAGGCGGTACAGGGGCCCATGGCAGAGTGGCGAAGCGTAAGCAGCTTAAATTGAAGGCCATACAGAGGCCTATGTTAAAAAGTCCCCCCAGCAGCAGTGTGGGGAGACGACTATCAAGAGTCTAATGGCAGAGTGGCGGAGCAGAAGCAGCTTCAACTGAAGGCCATACACAGGCCTAGGTTAAAAAGTCCCCCCAGCAGCAGCGTGGGGAGACGACTATCAAGAGTCCAATGGCAGAGTGGCGGAGCGGAAGCAGCTTCAATTGAAGGCCATACACAGGCCTAGGTTAAAAAGTCCCCCCAGCAGCAGTGTGGGGAGACGACTATCAAGAGTCCAATGGCTGAGTGGCGATCCGGGAAGTCAGCGTTGTGATTGCAGATGCAATGCAGAGATTCTATGAGGTGATGCCGTGGGTGCGAAGAAGATCATATACCGTCGTACTTCCATCCATAAGACGGAACAACCTGCGAACTGGGAGCTTTATTGCCCTGACCCGCTGAGCAGCTTCTGGGATACCCAAGAGTTTGGCTTCTGTGGGGAATATGGTTGAAAACTGAAACTTAAAGGCATGTTGACGGAAGGGCACCAGTGTCAGTGCTCCGGAGGGAATATAGCTTCAAAGCTGACACTTAAAGGTATATTGACGGTCAGAGACCACAGGAAGTGGAGCTTGCGTCTTAAATCGACTGAATGTGGCAGACGTGAAACGTCTACGGGCCGTATATGAAACGGGTTGTTCCTCTTTCTGGAATAAGTGTTGGAAATGGCCACTCTTTTTGGTGTGGCGTTTTGTCTATTTAATTCCGATAACGGACTCTACTCCTCCGTGCAATCTAGTTACGAGACCCTGGGCAGGTCTGGGTCCAATTTGTGGTAGAGACTGGTTTTGTTCAGCCATGCTTGAGCGAGTAATAACAGGTCTGTGCTGCCCTTTGGTGTCTGGCTTAATGCGCACAACACTGAACGTCCCAGCATTTGTCAACGATTTGCCGTTAAGTGATGCAAACCCGCTGAACCACGTTTTCATGAGAAGCCGGTACAGGGGGCCATGAATCAGTATGGACCTGGCAGCAGTGTGAGGAGACCCGAAAGTGGCACATGGCGCAGGATGGCGGTGGAGGCAGCAGTATTCGGAAGACATACACAGGACTAGTTTAAAAAGCGGAAGCCGTCAGCAGCGTGAGCAGACGACAGAGGCACATGGCGCAGGGTGGCGGTGGAGGCAGCAGTATTGGAAGCCATACACAGGCCTAGGTTAAAAAGCGGAAGCCGTCAGCAGCGTGAGCAGACGACAGAGGCACATGGCGCAGGGGTGGTGGTGGAGGCAGCAGTATTCGGAAGCCATACACAGGCCTAGGTTTAAAACTGGAACCCAGCAGCGTGAGCAGACGACAAAGATGCACATGGCAGAGAGGATGGATCTGGCAGCAGTATGAGAAGGCGGTACAGGGGCCCGTGGCACAGTGTGGTGATGGGGGCTACAGCAACTGGATGCCAGAAAGTGGCCGATAGGGCTATATACTGCATGGAATTATAAAGTTGTAAAGACAGCGGCCTATAAGGCTATACACACTATAACAATCATGACTTGATTGACCATTGGCCTATAAGGCTATACACAGCATGAATATCATGACTTATTCTGAGAGTGGTTTGGAAGGCTATATACAAAAAAGTAATTCATGAGCTGTCTGGACAGCGGACAATAAGTACATATAAACACAAATCAATTCATCAGCTGTCCAGCCAGTGGCCTCAAAGGCGACACATATAGAAAGCAATTCATGAGCTGTTCAGACAGCGGCCTCTAAGGCGACAGATATACAAAGCAATTCCCGAGGTGTTCAGGGAGCGGCCTGAACGGCTAGGTTATTACTAAATATATTTTTGTGGCCAAACATCGGCCTATAAATAGATGTCTACACAGTGACAAAAAATTTATGTCGCCAGACAGCGGCCCCTAAGGCGACACAGATATACAAAGCAATTCCCGAGGTGTTCAATGAGCGGCTTGAACGGCTAGGTTATTACTAAATATATCTTTCTGGCCAAACATCGGCCTATAAATAGATGTCTACACAGTGACAAAAAAGTAGGTCCCCTTACAGCGGGCGTATCCTACAAATTGACATTATAAGAAATGGTTTAGACCAAAAAAAAAAAAAAAAAAAAACTTTGATACGATGCTATACCTTAGTAGATTGTGGAAAGTCGACAAGTCAAGCGTAACTGTGTACATTACAGAAAATCTTAACAAGACAACCAAACATGTGGCCAAACCGTGACCGATACAACAAGTTAACAATGTAAGAAACAGGAGGGGGCCAAACCGTGGCCAATAAATAAACAGTCCACCTCATTGATGAGATGGACAACACGTGTCAAATAAATATTTAAAAAAATTGCTATTCCATCGGTCTGGAACTGGTCGACTATAAATAATTAAAAAGTTTAAATTCATGTGACAGTCGTCCAGCGACGTATAAATAATTTAAAAACACCAATTCATGAGGGGCCCGACCAGCAGAGTATAAGTCATTAAAAAGGTTCAATTCATGTGACGGTCGTCCAGCGAAGTATAAATAATTTAAAAACCGCCAATTCATGAGGGGCCCGACCTGCAGAGTATAAGTCATTAAAAATGTGCAAAACATGAGTCGGCCGACCAGCAGCCTCTCAATAAAATATATATACAAATGTACGGATCAGGTGGAGGTCTTCCATTTGTCCCTAATAACATGTTTGGGGCATGATTCATGGCGGATTTAGTCAGTTGTGTCAGGAACTGGTGGTTTGAAATCCAGACTAATCCACGCCTGATTCATTTTCACAAACGTGAGTCTCTCCACACTTTGGGTGGACAGTCGTGTCCTCCGCGGAGTTACAATACCTCCTGCCGCACTAAACACGCGCTCCGATGCCACGCTACTGGCCGGGCATGACAGCCTTTCAAGGGCAAATTCAGCTAGTTGGGGCCAAAGGTCAAGTTTCGTTGCCCAGTAGTCAAGGGGATTGTCTACCTCGGTTGGCAGGGTGCTGTCCAAGTAGGCCCAAGCCTGTTGTTTGAGGTCCTGCTCCAGGTCCACCTGATGCTGCTGCTGCTGCGGCTGGTTAGTAGTTTCCTCACTGCGCTGGTGAAGAAAGCTACTCATCATCGACTGCAGACTGAGGCAGCCGCTGCTGGTGGAGCTGCCACTGCTCCTACCAGCCCACCCCTCCCCTGCTGCCATGGCAGCGTAACGCGAGCGCACAGGGCCCACAGTGTCTGAGGATGGACGTTGGCGCAGAAAGGCAGAGACCAACTGACTACATAGGTGGTTTTTATAGTACTTTATTTTGGCCTCCCTCTCAGCAGGTGTGAAAAAGGCCACCATTTTTGAACGGTAGCGAGGGTCCAACAAGGTGGACAGCCAAAAGTCATCCCTCTGTCTGATGGTTATTATTCGGCTGTCGCTACGCAAGCAACCGAGCATGCTATGGGCCATTTGTGCCAAGGAATGCGAGGGACTCCCTGCCTCCATCTCCACAGCATACTGCCACGGTGCGTCTGGGTCCTCTGTCTCCTCCTCCTCCTCTACCAGATGCTCCTGCTCCTCCACTCCTGTCCGCTGAGTGAAAAAACCACCCATTTCACTCAATAATTCCTGAGCACCAATGTCCTCCTCTACCTCCTCCTCTTCTTCCTGTCCTGCCCCCACAGGGTTCATGTGGCGTTGAGATCTGTGCGCCACGTCTACCGCAGCCTGACCAGCCATTGTTAACAGCATTTGTTCCAGGACGTGCAACAGAGGAATGACGTCGTTCATCCCATAGTCCTGCCGACTCACGAATAGCGTGGCCTCCTCAAAGGGCCTGAGCAAGCGGCAGGTGTCACGCATGAGCTGCCAATGGCTGACATCTAAGTTACACAGGGGAGTACCTTTATCCGCTTGTAACATCAGGAAATCGGTGATGGCCTTTTGCTGTTCGTAAAGGCGGTCTAACACATGTAGGGTTGAATTCCACCTTGTTGCAACGTCGCAGATCAGGCGATGCTGTGGAATTCCGTTCTGCCGCTGCAGCTCAAGGAGGGTGTGCTTTGCGGTGTAGGAATGGCTGAAATGCATGCAAAGTTTACGTGACATTTTAAGGATGTCTTGCAGTGGGATGGTGGTGGATTTTAGGAACCGCTTGACAACCAGATTGAACACGTGAGCCATGCATGGCGCATGGCACAACCTTCCTTGACGCAGAGCAGACACCATGTTCTTTCCGTTGTCGGTCAACATGGTTCCGATTTTCAGTTTGCGCGGAGACAGCCATCTGTCGATTTCTCTGTACATTACACTCAAAAGTTCCTCCCCTGTGTGACTACGTTCGCCAAGGCATACCAGGTGCAGCACAGCGTGACACCGTTGCGCCCTGCACATGTGATATGCCGGTCGGGTAATGGGACTTGGCACGGGGTGGTGGCGGCTGAGGACACGGCGGAAGAAGAGGTGGTAGAGGCGGACATCTTTGCTGGACCAAGGACGTGCAAACGTGGAGGCAAAAGCGGCGTGACCTGTCCAAGTTGCTGGTGCGGCTGTGCCGGCACCACGTTCACCCAGTGGGCCGTAAATGAAATGTTACACATCACTGTCCCTTTGGCAGAGACCGTAGTTACAGCTCCACACGTCGGCTCTGCCGTGCACTTTGGCAGAAGACCGACTTGGCACTCTCCACCGCGGCTCGGCACAAGCCATCATTTCTCGGAAAGGTGCTGAGTCCACCCCTTGGAAAGGGAGGGACTGCAGCACCAGCAACTTGGACAGGAGGACGTTCAGCTTCTGCACCGTCGGGTGCGTGCTCGCAAACTGTTGTCTCTTGGAAACGGATTCCAAGAAAGACTGCTGACGGAATCCGTGAAGAGGAGTAGCAGGAGAAGGAGCATCTGAACGAGCGGAAGATGCCAACGAGCGACAACTCCCCTCAGCAGAGGTGTTGGAGCCTTGACTGGCTGATAGAGGGCGATTGACGTCGGGTGACGGAGCAAGTAACGGAGCGGGTGATGGAGCGGGGGCTGAGGCAGGCAGAACCGCCGTATCTTTATCACGGTTTTCCCAGGCCACCGAATGGCGACGCTGCATATGCTGACGCAACACTGTAGTCCCAACATTGGCCCCCTGGCCACGCTTGACTTTCTGGCCACGTAGTCGACATACGGCTACGTTTACTTCCTCGGGCGGCTTGACGAAAAATTGCCACACCGCCGAGTAGGGAAACTTTGCCCCCGCTACTCCTCACTGGCTGACTGCTACTTCCTCCGTGCACACCGGCACCACTACTGGCCGTGTGGTGGTAGGCTGCAGTGGAGCTGGTGCTCTACTCCGTGGCCGTTTGGCTCCACTGACACTGCTGCGACCCTGCTGCCTCCTGGGCAAACCCACCGACTGTTTTGCTCGCTGGCAAGCTGCCACCCTCTTCTCCTGATGATGCGGAAGCAAATAGCCTGATGACGACGAGGCTGCCAAGTGCGATCAGCCTCATCATCATCAATTAGGGTCTCCGCGTCACTACTAGCCCCCTCGGCTGCGTGTGGGGTCAGGAGACAGACCTGTCTCTAGACCGGCTACCGAGCCACTCTCCTCGCCAGTACTTCTTCGCCTGGCTGCTGAAGAGGCGGATGTCTCCCCCCGTTCCTGACCGCCTCTGTTAGCTCTTCCTCACTGTACAGTGGGGCTGAGCCCACAGCATGCGATAATTCGCTTGGTGAGGGAACACCAAAGGACATGGGCAGGTCGAGGACACGTGATTTCAGTGGGCTTGCTCCCGGGCCATGCCAACTAACGGTTGTGTCTGACGTACCTACCGACCGTTGGCTGTAGGTGTCAGAGGTGACCTGGGAAGAGGAAGACGACCGAGTCAACCAATCGATGACGGCAGGGTTGTCGGTGGAGACACGACCGCTGGATGACACCGGGAGCACTGGCCTCTGGCTGCGACTAGTGCTGCCTCGACCCCTTCCTCTGCTGCCACGTCTGCTCGCTCCTGAAACATTGCCTCCTCTGCCACTCCTCTGCGTGTTGTCTGACATACTCTTTAATTCAATAAGCACCCCAAAAATAAAACCGGATTTAAC